CTCTCTCTCTCTCTCTCTCTCTCTCTCTCTCTCTCTATATATATATATATATATATATATATATATATATATATCTGTCTCTATATCTTTCTCTCACTGTTTGTAATCTTTTTTGTTTTAATGGGTTCCCTGTATCTACTTTGTTTCTATGTGTATTAATGTATATTGGTTGTTGATGGGGTGATCTCTCTCTCTCTCCCCTTTGTTCCTTGTTTTTTGAACAGATGCTCTGTCTCTGTATAGTTCTTACTTCTAAGTTATCTGACATGAATAATGTGAAGGCTAATAAATCTGCACACAAAGAGTACGTTCGTGACTTGAGGTACGTGTTTGACTCCCAAAAAAAAGAAAATTTTTAACTTTTGATAGTTTTAACTTTTAGTTGCAAGCAGACATGTATTTATTAATCATCCATGGGCAATATATGGACGTATTCTTTTTCACAGTTTTTCAAGGACGGACCTGAAGTTTTGCTCTTGCTATGACGATGATACTATTAAAGTATGAGACTTTGCTCGATGTCAAGAAGAGCGGAGCTGGAAATTGCGCCGTACTTATCGATATGGCTTTGGAGAACCTGTAATTTTCTGTGTTTAATGTACTAAATTTTGGGAATGGGGTTGAGGTTGTGGTAGTAACACCAGTTGAGTCTCCTCAGCTATTGGTTTAGGTTTTTATTCCCACTAACGCATTCGAAAACTTATAATTATTTCTAAAAATGGGTAGGGGCTTGTATTTTCTGTGTTTAACATACTAGTACAACGCCGTGCACAGCATGGGATGTACCAAGATCAATGAATTATGGAAAAATGTTCAAATCAAAGCAATTTGTAGTAAAATTTGAAAAATAATGTGCACTAATGCAGTAGCTTTTTGGTAGAGAAAACTTTCATTGTTAATGAGATTATATTTATTGTTGACGCTGATATAGTAAGCATCAATATACAAATAGATCAGGCTTTTGATGAACTAAAATAAACTCTTGGAACTCAAACATAGGCATTGTGGAAGCAAAGGCATGTTGGTCACAAACACACCTTCTCTCTATCTCTCTCACTCAAACAGGTATCTTGGCAACATAGCCCCTCGGGGTGTAAATAGGCAGCGCAGGCCCAACATGGTCTTCATGTTTGCATATTGGCACGGTTATGGAGGTCATACAGTCAGCCAATCACTCCTAACAAGTGTTTTAAAAATTATCGAATCGACACGGAATCGGTCATCCCGTCTGTACAGTTAATCATCTGGTTTCGACGATTTTGCACAATAAATCGTTCGGTTTTTTCGCGTCATGACGTCAAGACCCGTAGTGAAAGGGCATTTTTGTAAAATTCCGTTGATTTGAATCGGGAATCGGTCATCATGACGTCAGGACCCCTAGTGAAAGGGCATTTTTATAAAATTCAAGAATTTTGAGGCAAAAATCGTCAGAGACCCAGAGCCCATGGGTTCGTATGCTTCAAGTGGCCCTAAGTTCTTTCATGCACGTGTGGTCACGATCCATTCGTATAATCTCATCTCTTCACACTCGCTAAAAATGGTGAGTATAAAGAACTATTTATTCATATAGATTTGTTTCTCGCTCTTCGATGTGGGATTATGTGAATAAGTAATACCTTAAAATGTTCATGTAGTACATATGTTGTTAGCGGTTCTATAAACACTAAGTTGCAAGTGCTATATTGGTTATTGTGTGTCGTCGTTGTGATACGGACGTGGGTTTGATTCCTCTTGTTGACGACTTCTTGTTTTTTTCTCCTTGTTTTTCTCAAATTATTTTCTTATCCAAAAAATTTCTCTTTGTTTGTAAAAAATAAAAATAAAAGGTTTTTATCAATTTCGCGTTTTTGTCAAATTTTTTTTTATCAATAAAATAAAAAGTTTCGTATAAAAAAAATTAAATTTTTTGTCAAATTTTTTTCATATAAAAAAAATGAATGGTTTTTTCTAAAAAATAAAAATAAAAGGTTTTTATCAATTTCGCTTTTTGTCAAAATTTTTTTCTTATCTATAAAATAAAAATGTTAGTATAAAAAAAATCAAAGGTTCTTATCAATTCTTTTTCTTGTCAAAAAAAAAAAGGCTTTTGTCAAAAAAATCAAAAAATAAAAAATAAAAAGTTATTGTCAAAAAAATAAAAAGTTGTTATAAAAAAA